ACACTGAACTTATTGAAAGGGTTTGTGGGCACACCATGAGAAAAAGACTTCTCTGATCTAAATATGTGCAAACTAAGATCCTTGGAGAGCAAAAGTTAGATAACAGTGGATTTTCAAACCATGTCAGTGGGCATTAGTATAAATGATCTGTCCAGAGCTTCTTCATGACAATTAGATTCAACGTTACAATGAATGCTTCACACTACAATCTAAAGTTACAGAAGAACTTAAAATGAAAACAGTGTTAAATTAAAGTGTTCAAGTAACAGCAAATGGCACTACTGTTTTGTTAACTTTCATGTAAGTCCAAATACAATCAGCAGGACACTGCAGGGAGTTGAACCCCATCCCAGTAAACTGACAGTCTGTTATGTTACAAACACTGAAGCACATTCATGCACATTCATTTTCTTAATGATCTTTAAAGGCTTACATTTATGATTGTATCGGAGGTACACTCAAAACATTTGAGGCTTAAGACCTGGCAACATGATCTTGCTACACTGCTGGTCTACGCAGGAAATATCTCACTCGTGCACGCAGAGTGTGATGGTCACAGAAATTCATGGCCGCGTCACCCAGAGTCCTGCCAGTACCAGGAAATACCGTTTAACTCGTGCATGCAGTGTATGACGGTCACAGAAATGTATGGACCGAGTCCTGCTAGTACTCTCGACGTGCGTGAAGTTGCGAGGGCCCAATCAATGCTGCTCGCAGCTTTAATTATTATTCTTATTAGGGCCTGAGCACCGACATAGTCGGAGCGGAGGACCTATTGTTTTTCGTATGTTTATTATTATTCTTATTATTTTACAAGTTTTGTCGCAAAAAGGAGGTGCTTGGGATACTGGAAAACTTCTGAAATTCGGCACGCAAGCCAGAATTTGCAAAAATTGCAGTCTGATTGGGGTGTCCAGCTGCGGTATGAAATATTGGCTCGATAGCGCCCCCTATTGAGTTGCCCCAACATTGGGTTTCACCTAGCTGTATGAAATTTGGTAGGTATGTGGAACGTGATGAGACACACAAAAAATCCTCTTGGAGTTTTTCATAAAACCAAACAGGAAGTCGGCCATTTTGACTTTTATGACGTTTTTTGACCATTTCAAGGCGTCATACTTTAACGAACTCCTCCCAGAGATTTGACCCGATTGACTTCAGATTCGGTTAGTATGCTCTTGAGACCTTGGCAGTGAAAAGTTACTCAAAGATCAAAAAGTTGTCGAACTATGTATCCGTGGCGTGGCGTCAAAAAAACACCATTCGCCGCGAAAGGGGAAGTTGTTGTAACTCGGCCGAACATTGGCTAATCTGCTCCAAATCTCTCATATGTCATAACATCCTGACCCGGAAGACATCTATATGACAATTTAGAATCATAGTAATAGCGCCACCTAGTGGCAACTGGAAGTTGTAAGTTTTGTACTTTGACATCCTGCTCCTCACAGATCAATCAGATCCCTCTCAAATGTTGTCAGAAAAGCCTTAAGACCTTGATAATGCTTCATTGTGAAGATTGTAAGAAGTTGTCAAAGGGCGGCGACGTGGCGGCTTGGCGAATTTCGATCCTTCGCCATGAAGAAATAAACTGATGTAACTCGACTCCACATCATCAGATCTTTACCAGATTTCACATGTTTGATTAGACTCCAGTCCTGAAGACATTTGCAGGCCAATTTTGAATCATAGTCATAGCGCCACCTACTGGTAACAGTCAGTTAAAGTCTTTATACTTTGGCTTGTTTCTCTTAGTAGGTAAATCAGATCAACATCAAATTAGTTCCACACAAATATAACAAGTTCATAATGCGAGTTCATGAAGATTTTGATGTTTCGTCCTACGCCGTTGCGACGCAGTCTTCGCCGTGAAAAACGAAGGTAATTTTGAAAGGCTAGAAATGCTCGAAACATAAGCAAACTTGGCATTCACATTTAAAGCCCAAAATGTAGTTATATGATATGATTTTATTGGTTGAGAGTGGCAAATCGGCTCAATAGCGCCCCCTACAAAATTTCCCACGAAGCAGCCCCTCGCTGTACGTTTTTCACATAGATTTACAAAATTTGGTAGGCACATGTATCACATGTGGACTTAAAATAAAGTCTCTTGGGGCCATGCTCTAAACCCAACCGGAAGTCAGCCATTTTGAATTTTATATGAATTTCTAGTGTCGTTTTTGTCATTTCCAGGCGCTGCACTTTAACGAACTCCTCCTAGGGAAATAATCGAATCAACTTCAAATTTGGTCAGTACAATCTAAAGAACTTTGTGATAAAAAGTTACTCAAACTTTTGTTTCGTGAAAAGCCGTTGCCGTGGCGACGCATTCTTCGCCATGAAAAATTAAGGTGTTTTTGAGGGGCTAAAAATACTCAAAACATAACCAAAATTGTCAAACACATTCAAAATCCTGAATGTAGTTATCTAATGTGATTTTAATGCTTCAAAGTGTCAAGTCGACTCAATAGCGCCCCCTACAATATTTTGACGATGCAGCCCTCGCAGTACGTTTCACCTAGATGTATAAAATTTGGTAAGCAGATGTATCCCATGTAGACTTAAAAAAAAGTCTTAAGGGTCTAAGCTCTAAACCCAATCGGAAGTCAGCCATTTTGAATTTTGTATGAATTTCTCGTGTTTTTTTTCCATTTCCAGGTGCTGTACTACAAACTCCTCCTAGGGAATTAATCCGATCAGCTTAGAATTTGGTCAGAACAATCTAAAGACCTTAGCGATTAAAAGTTACTAAAAGCTTTATGTTTCATCGAACGACGTGGATATGGCGTGATGGCCATTTTACATGATTCGCCATCATCCATCAAGCTGTTGTAACTCAACTGTACTTTGTCAAAACTGTCCCAAAATTGACATGCTTGTTGACTGTCATGGCTTTAGGACTTCTGCATGCCAATATTAACTCATAGTCATAGCGCCACCTACTGATAAGCACAGACGTGACTTAGGATGCTCAACAAGCCTTGGAACTTTGCACAGGTGTCATAAGTGATGGAAATGAATATTTCATATGGCTTTTTAGCTTGACCCTTTCAAATTGCCTCGATAGCGCCCCCGACAAATATTCAAAATCGCAGCCCCAGCACTACGTTTGACCTACATGTATGAAATTTGGTAGGCACATGTATCACATGAAGACTTAAAAAAAAGTGTCTTGGGACCATGCTCTAAAATTAACGGGAAGTCGGCCATTTTGATTTTTGTGTGAATTTTCCCATGATTTCTAGTCGCTATACTTTAACGAACTCCTCCTAGGGACGTTGTCAGATCCTTTTCAAATTTGGTCAGTATAATCTAAAGACCTTTGCAATTAAAAGTTACTCAAAGCTTTACGTTTGATAGAATGGCGTAGCCGTGACGTGGCGGCCATTGTAGGTGATTCGCTATTAAACAACAAGCTGATGTAACTCCACTGGACTTGCTCAAATATGTCCCAAACTTGCCATATTTGATAACAGTCATGGCCTGAGGATGTCTACAAGCCAATTTTCACTCAAAGTCATAGCGCCACCTACTGGCAACAGGAAGACAGCGTTATGTGACAAACTGAATCCGATTTATATGACATTTACATGATGTGATCTATATTTGATGTAGAGCAACACAATGCATGTTTGCATGTTCTCTAGCGCCACAAAGTGGATACAGGAACTGGTGGAATATTTGCACTACATAATTTCCAGCGTCACACAGTCCAAGCATTAAAAATATGTCTAACTTGTGGGCACGCTGTCTGGTGGTCGCAGATATTTATGGCCGCTTCTGCCGGCGTCCCGCCAGTACCCCCGAGATGCGGGAAGGTGCGAGGGCCCTTTCATCGCTGCTCGCAGCTTTAATTTGATATTGTATTTTGTTATTTCATTTATAAGTAGTATTGTTTAATTATTGTAGATATTTGATATATTAAGATTATTTTTTCTCTTTAATAGTAATTTGTTTAGTTATATTATTTTTTGGGTAATTACTGTGGGCACCTGTTGCTATAGGAGTAGAAAGATAGGACATGCATGCACCGTATAGTTTTTACCTGCACAGCTCTGCACAGCACTGCACAGGACAGGAGAGACAGCACGACGGAATCGGAATCCTGCATGGACAATCCACTCTCTTCTCGCTGCGTAAGAATACCGACCACGGTGCATCAGTGGCGTTTGATTATTGTTTGTTTAAGTTTGATTTAGTCGACAAATGGCCACTACAGACTTCCTTTCAAAAAGCAGAAGAGGCCTTTAATCAGTGCTTTTTAAAGTACAACAAGAGCACAGGTGCTTTTCAGAGAGAGAGAGAGAGAGAGAGAGAGAGAGAGAGAGAGAGAGAGAGA